ACATATAGTGACTTTAATGTTTCACACACAGAAACTAGTGGCTTTTGTTTTATTTAACCAGAACTCCATGACTAATAGTATAGCGTGATGACCATTTTAATTTTGCTAGTTCTTCAGTACGTTAATACTTCATGTATAAGGATGCCTTGGGATTGATTTAAAACCAAGTACAATGACTAGTGTGAACAAAAAGTAAAGGACAAAGTGATCCACAAGATAAATATTAAGGATATTGGCTGTAGAATAAAGCCCTTGTCATAAAGAATAAAGCAAGCCAAAGTAAACATTTGGCAGAGATTTAATTTTGACTGAGCAATTTTAATTATATTCTTTTAGATAAGATTGCTGATTATGTAAAGTTTTGGGAATTCCCAAGATTGCCCAAAATATTTATCTGTTGGGAAGACACACAATTTATTTTTCATTTCATGTCTAAAGGTAGTTGTAGTACATATAATCAGCCAGTAACTGTACCAACATGTCCATTGTGTACATAGTTCTAGAATGAAACAAAGTAACCATCTACTGACTGTGATTTCTCAAGATGAGAATAAGGCTTTCTGCAATGAGTTGTCATTAATACAACAAAATGCATAGTTGTGGATTTTTAAATTTTATTATTATTTTCTGGTGTGTGAATGTGTGCTAGATCTGGGATTTGAACTCTGTCTTGTGCTGTTGCTTGCCATTTTTGCTGAAGGCTGGTGCTCTACGACTTGAGTAATACCTCCCCTTAGGGATTTTGGCTGATTAATTGGAGACAAGAGTCTCTTGCATTTGTCTTCACAGACTGGCTTCCAACCAAAATCTTAAAGATCTCAGCCTCCTGAGTAGCTAAGATCACAGGCTTGAGCCACCAGTGCCTGAGAGTTTTAGTTACTTTTAAATGATAAACTGTGGCTATTTGTGATTAATCAATATCAGCGGAGAAAACTCATTTCCATTTCTATACTTTATGATGTTTTGCATCTCAGAATCCTTGAAGTAATAACAGCCAATGACTGGCAGGAAGGGTTTGATTTTTTTTTTAAATAAGATATTTTCAGCTGACCAAATTTTGAAAGCTTACTCTAATAAAAGGAGGCTCATAGGAATGGTCCAAGAAGGTCACTATATTCAATGTACTTATGTGAATATGGAACCAGATAAATTGAGGGGATGGGTGGGCTTGGAAGAGTTAGAGGAGAACAATGGGAGGGGTGACACTGATTAGATGCACTGTACTTCTAACATGGCATGCTGACTTGAAAGCCTTGCTAATAAATGGTTTGCTACATTGACTGAGTTGTCATGGGGATGTATAGTGAGTGTTCTGTGCTGGCCATTTTTAAGCAGAGGTTAAAACCTGTCAGGCATATTTTATACGGGGAGAGGAAAACTCACAGTAAATCAACGGTAAATGGCCATTGAAAATATGAGCATCTGTAAACCTAATTTGTTCTCTGTTCTCATCTCATTTATGAAGCGGGAAACCTGCTGTGGCAGTAGATTGGGTTAAGTATGATATTGATGGTTGAGTGCTGATGGGGAAGTTTAACCCATTCCTCTTTTCTTTCTTTAATAGCACTTTTAATCTTGGTGGTTGTGGTTGTGTTCATGGCAATGTTACTGTGCCCTTTTTGTAAAAGGCAGGAATATAAGGGGGTCTTCTGGAAGGTGATGATTCAATCTGCCAGTATGGAACACCTGCTGGGAGCTAGCTTCAGAAGCAAAGGGCAGAGTGTGAGAACTCATCATGTCGCTATGCCCTTGGTTTATTCTTCTGTCCTTTGATCTCTGCAGCCCTATAGCCCTAACAACAGACAGTTCATGCAGAGGTAGGAAGTGCTAACCAATTAGAAACAAATAACCCAAGGTTACTCTCAAAAATAGTCCATTATATCATAAACTCAAAATAGATCCCCCATGAAAAAAGCATATCAGTTGAATAAGCACTGTGCTTTTTAAATCATTTATGGCTGAATTGAGGCTAGTTTAGGCTACTACCTGGGGCTCAACCAAACTCTGGCAAGTATTATACACTTGTTTCAGGAATGAGGTTAGCCACATAGCTATGCTAGTGCACTACTAGATTATCTGCTCAATTGAATCTTACAAAGAAGCACTGGTGGCTCATTTCTGTAATCCTAGTTACTCAGGAGGCTGAGATCTGAGGATAGCAGTTCCAAGTGAGTCCAAGGAGAAAAGTCCCCATGAGACTCTTATCTCCAAGAAATTACTCAGAAAAGCCAGAAGTAGCACTGTGGCTTAAGTGGTAAGAGCTCTAGCCTTGAACACAAAGAGTCTCAGGGACAGTACCTAGATCCTGAGTTCAAGCCCCAGGACTGACAAAAACAAACAAAAAACAGAGTCCATCATTACTACTTTGAGGAATAAGTAGGACCCTTTTCTTGATCATGTTACTTTATGACCCCTTTTCTGTTTCAGATATTAGGATTTTGCTATGTGTTATGGCATCTCAGCATATCTGACCATGCAAAAGACGGCATCGCTGCATGACTGACATATTATAGCTTTACATGTAGGTTGAACATGTCTGTGTTCAAATGTCTGGTGTTTCTTTGGTTAGTGAAAGGGCATCAAACTTAAAGTTAATTTTTCCCCTAAACATTCTGTGCATTTTATTTCTTCTTGACAGTGACCACTTGAGCATGTTGACAGTGAAACAGTTGTCATTCTAATCACATGTCACATGTTACTGTTTCTTTGTACACAGTCCATCTTGGCAATTGACAACTGTCATGAAGGCCAGGGCTATACCTGACCCTAGCATTTGAGACCACATGAGCAATTTCAGGCTTAAAACTCCTTTCTTGTCTTCAGACACTACTTAAAAGTTAGCATGAAATAAAAATTGCCCAGAGAATTTACCAAGAGAGAAAATTTTCAGGCCCCCAAAATGCTTGATTTACAGATGCCATGCACAACGCTGACCCCCAAACATGAAATAAACTATCACTCAAACCAGACTTCATTTGCACCATTCTAATTTATACTTTAAGAGATATTGAGCGCTTGTTTCCATTACCTGGAATTCATTTTGATAAATATTGTGTTAGATGATCAGATGCACATAGGTATTGTGCCTTTGTGTTCCCTTCCTAAGAATATCCTCCTTTGGTCTCACTGTGTGTGAATAAGGTTTTTACTTTTGTTGCTGTTTTTCTTTTAATTCCTTTCATTCCCTTTTGCCTTGTTTGTTCATTAATCTCTCTTTGGGAGGGTAAAGTGGAGAACATAAATGTAGAGACAAAGGGTGAACAAATGTAGCAGTGATACTTGCTAGATACTATGTTGAAAATGATCTATACAACTTGTAGTGGATGGGACAGGGAGGGAAAAACTGGAGAGAATTGAGGGCGGGGAGTGACATTGGTCAAGAACAAATGTACTCTTTATCTCTCTATGTGCCTATAACCATAACCCTGCTGCATATCACCTTTACAATAACAACAAAATTGCGTTAATAGAAAAGAGAAATATTGAGCTCTTTGGTTAGCGTTATATATGGGTTGCTTGATTTCATTTTGAGTTAACAGCAATAACCCAGTATAAGACTGTGTTAAAGAAGCTCTTGCTCTACTCAAGATGTTTGCAGTGTTGAACATAAGTCTGATAAACACTTCACCAAGAGTATTGTTTTTGGGAAAAGACAGTAGAGTCTTCTACTTGTGTAAGGGCACTACCTTGTAACATCTGCTGGAGAAACATTCCAGGAAAAATGTGGGACTAAAGTCATCATCCCTCCAGGGGTCCAATGCTACAAGAACTGAGGCCCAGAGGACACAATCCAGCTGCTGCTGTAGCTTTTATGGGGTAAAGGCACAATGTGGTTCTTTCTTCTCCTCTCTGATGGAGTGGATTGATACAAAAGGCTTGACAGAACCTTTTCAGTTGTTTAACTTATAGTGACAGTTTTCCTCCTCCCCCCACCCCAAACACTCCTTTAATTGAAAAGGATGTTAGATTTTATTAACTCTTTGCATTTTGCATAGCTTTCTAGACCTTCGCTAGGTCGCTTGAGCATCTAAAAGCAAATGATAGTCAATTGACCCTTCTTTATATGGAAGTGCAGCATTTTCCTGGACTCTTCATATTTAGTCATCAGAACAAAATTTCTTGAAGTGTAATAAGCCAAGGCTGAAATCTTTAAATGGGCCACATTTGGGGGGGAAAGGGGAGGGGAGGGAAAGAAAATTCACCCTGTAAATGAAAAAGTGACTTGGAGGTCATCTCTTTTTGACCAATATTGGTGCAATTAGGCCTGTGTGCAATTGAAGTTGCTATTCTCAAAAAATGAAATATTGAACTGAGGTCGTCATTGCACATTCAGAGAAATTCAAAGAGAAGAGATGGCTCTGTATTTCAAATATTATTGATGCTATTGGCTTAGACATCTCCCCATTATTGGGTCTGTTTTGCAAGCCTAAATTTGAGCCTGAAGATTTTCTCCACATAAATGTCTTAAATATTGCAAGGGCAGATCCATCACCTGTTTTTTTGTTGTTGTTGTTTTGTTTTTGTTTTTATTTTTTGCTTTGGAATTACAAAAATAACCTTAAGGTACAAGCCTTCGACTGGGCACTGTTGATGCATACACAGAGAGAACGAGACTCCCTAGTGATGAGATCAACCAGTACCCAAGAGGAAAGTAATAGGCAGAAAGGATAGAGTTGATGAAAAAATTGATTCTTTTCCATTAAACTGTACGTGATGTGTTTTTTTATGAAACAAGCATCAGCTGAAGGAGAAATATTTCAACTGAAAAAAGAGATTGATGGTGAGGGAGAGGGAAAGGATTCTAGGGAATCGGGACGAATTTGTGTCTTACCTCGTTACCATCTCAAGTAATGAGAAAGTGGAAAAGCAATCTGTGGCATCACTACACATGTTTACTCAGACCTGGTGACATTAAACGTTTTTAATGTTAATAATGGCTCCTTTTTGTTTTTCTTTGAAGTACCTTTCTCAATCCTAAAACTTGTCTTGTTCATTTTCAGGTTGGCCAAAGATGCAGGTCATTAGGAACTACACTGGAGCCCCGCCTCCACCTCTTCATGAAGGACCCCCATTGCATATCCAGGCTGGAGATACTGTAGAACTTCTGAGAGGAGATGCTCACAGTCTGTTTTGGCAGGTAGTACCCAGGTTATAATTTTTAGGGATTTAGTGGCTGATTAGTTACCTCATCGAGAATGAAGTTCTTGTTTTTAGAAACTGACAGCATGCTTTCAGCTTTAGACATCTGATTCTTTCTGATTCAGTTTCCCCGTATTTTCCAATACCAGAGTAGCAGTGAGCATTAAATTAGTATCAATGCTATGAGTCATGATTAACATTTTTATTAAAAATTCATACTTTGTCAGAGCTTTTTTTTTCTAAGCCTGGTACCTATGGGTCTGATTAATTTGCATAGCTTTAATATAGTATAGAGTTCACTTCAGGGAAAACCACCTTAATTAGCTTACCAGTGGTCATTACTGGCCAGAGTTGATTAGGGTGGAGCTTCCTGAAGTTTCCCTGGACATAATTCAGGAAATGTATGAAATGTAAAATGAAAATGATTATGTTGATGTTTGCTGGTGATAAAAATCTCTATTGACTCATAAGGCTACATCTGATTTAAAGATTTTTGTCCATTCACAGGGTTATCGTGTTAAAATTCAATGGAGTTAGATAGTAGAACATTATAGTTTACTAACCTCTGTTTTCTTGCATATTAGAAACATTTGCCAAAAAAGTTAAATGATATGTTAAATGTCTATTGTACATTGACAGGAAGAGGGGTGAGGGTCAACTGGAAGATTAGTATGTGAATAAAATCGGGTTGGGGAAAAGGGAGAGATAGCAGAGTAGCAGTTGTTGGTCAGTATCCCACTGCATACACGTGTAAGTGATATTTATTTTGTTTGCTTGGAACTAGTTTTACTGCCTACCATCTTATTACATAGAATGCTTCTGGATCAGTATTTATTCCAGCCATATTTCATCTAGTTTAACCAATGACTTTTCCAAAGCCCCAATGTTTTTTTAATACATATTTTTATTGTAAAGATACTGTACAGAGGGGTTACAGTTACGTGAACAAGGTCATGAGTCCATTTCCTATGGAGCATTGTTACACCCTCCTTTAATTTTCCCCTACCATCCATTTCCTCCCATCTCCCCAACTCCTCCCTTCCCTCTCACCCCCGCCCCACAAAGTTGTAAAGTTTGTTTTCCACATACTGTCTTGTACATCTCATTGTTACAGTGGGTCAACCTGTATCCTTATTTGAGCATTTTGTTATTTCCCTTCCCCTCCCCAGATTAGAAAAATGTATATACAAGATGCAGGACACTGGAATCAGATACAGTGACAACAGAGGTTGTACCAGGCCCAGTGTTTTATGAAGTATCCTTCTTTTGCACCCCATCCTTCCTTCCAAGGAAGGGGAACAAAAAGCAGATTACACTGTATTCGCTCTTGCATCCTTCAGCTTAACCACAGAGCCTATCTACATTTGAACTTGTAGTGTTCCTCATATCTAAGATGTAACTTCCTTTTTGGATTTTCATTCTTGAATTTTAAACTTATCCTCTCTATTGGCATATTTTCTGTAGCATATAAATAATGTACAAGCTCTTCTCTCAAATTCTTTTTTAGAATTTTTTTAGCATACCCATAAAACGTGTATCCTTTGTTTTATATGGCTTTCACACAACATCATTTTCTTGAGACTCAGCCTTATTTCTGTTTGTCGTTGTTTATATCATGTGTTTATTATTCTACTTATGATGTAGCATAATTATTTGTTTATCCATTAGCTTGCTGATAAATGTCCAGGTTGATGCTTCTTAGTGACGATTACAAAAAAAAAACAAACCTTGGTGAACATTTAAGTATAAGTTTTTGTATGGATAAGGCAGTCATTTTTTTCAGTAAATACTAGGGAGAAAAGAAATAGATTAAATATAAATAATATATTATTAAATATTAGAGATTTTTTCAGCTCATATTTTTATTCTCAGAATAGTATTACACATAGAACAGACATTTTTCTTTCTTTTTCTTTATTAATGTATTTTTTGGTGCTGGTTCTGGGGCTTGAACTCAGGGCCAAGGCACTGTCCTTGAGCTTTTGTGCTCAAGGTGAGTGCTCTACTATTAGACCCATAGCTCTACTTCTGGCTTTTTTGGTAGTTCATTGGAGATGAGTCTCACAGAATTTCCTGCCCAGGCTGACTTTGAACCACAGAATCAGATCTCAGCCTCCAGAATAGCTAAGATTATAGGCCTGTGCCACTAGCACCCAGCTCAAAAATTTGTATTTCAATATAATCTAGTTCATTAATTGGTTGGGTTTTTTTTTTTGGAGCATGTTATTATGAGTATCGTATCTAAGAAATTGGCCTCTACCAAAGCCTCAAAGACATTTCTTGTGTTTTCTCCCAGAAGTTTTATGATTTTCAGTTTACATTTAGGTTTCATTTCAAGTTATGTTTGTGTGTGCTTTGAGTGATGTTTATTTTTGCACATATGGGGAACCAGAACGTGAAGCATTTGTTGGAAAGTCAATTCTAATGTAGTGGGTTGCTTTGTACTCTTGTAATAGATGAATTGTCAATTTTCGTTTGTTTGTTCCAGTACCGGGGCTTGAATGTGAAGCTTTTTGTTCTCACTTGGCTTCTCCCCTTAAGTATGGTACTCTACCATGTGAACCACACCTCTACTTCTGGCTTTTTTGGTGGTAAATCAGAAACAAGAGTCTCAGAAATAAGATCTATGCCTCCTAAGTAGCTCGGAACTAGTGCTGGGAAAATTGTCCATTTTTGTGTAACTTTTGTTGTATTCTCAATGATTTTTTTCTCCATTCCTCTACCAATTTGAGGCTGTCTTGCTAATAACTATAGTTAATATTGCTTCAAATCAGGTTTGGTCCTAACATTTCTTCTTTTCAAAGACATTTCTGGCTTTTCCTAGGCCTTTGCCTTTAATATGATCTATGGTATCATTCTGTCAGTTTCACAAATTGTGAAATTATACATTAATTGTAGTGATTTGCACATTAATATGGGAGATTGGCAGCATTGGGTCTTTTGATCATTTAGCTTAATGGTCCCTATTTATTTAGGTCATAGTCAGCCAGGATTTTTAGTTGTCAGAGTTACCGTTGTTATACAGTTCTTGTCATTTTTATAATATTTTTATTATTATTTCACCTTTCAATTTTGATGCAATTAACAATAGTAACATTCCATTGTTATTGTTCATTGCTAATACATAAACTATATTTAAATTTTGTAGATTGATCTTTTATTGTGCAATTCCCATTAAGCTCAATTATTCTTGGAGATTTTCTCCTCCATTTAGGTAGCATTTAGGTAGACAATATCAGTGTTGATGAATATACATGTTTTTACTTCTATCTTTGCAATCACATGCCTTTTATTTCTTTTTCTTGCTTTGTCACAATGGCTGGACCATCAGTGAAAAGATGAGAGAGTATATCATTGTTAATATTCCTGACCAGAGGGGGCATTGAATCTTTTTATCATTGAATATTTGTATTTCTGTAATTTTCATAAATTCCCTTTATTAGCTTGACAACTTTTTTTTCTTTCTTTGGTACTACTAGAGTTTGAACTCAGGTCTTGCATTTTTTGGTCTACTTTTTTGTTCATAGTTGGTGCTCTACCACTTGAGTCAATCCTCCAGCTTAGCATTTTTCTGGGTAATTGAGATAAGATTCCCTAAGACTTTCCTGCTGGTAGTGGCTTTGAACCTCAGTCCTCAGATTTCAGCTTCCTGAATAGCTGGTATTATAGGTGTAGCCACTGGCACCTGATAGATTCTTTTTGTTTTCTAGAACTAGTTTGCTGAGAGTTGTTTGTTTTATTGTCTTTAAATCAGTAATGTTTTATTGTCTTTAAATCAGTAATGGATTTTGGATTTTGTCAAATAATTGCCTGAGAGCTATTGAAATGACTATATCACTTTAATCTGATTAATATGATGAATTTAATTTTTAAATATTAGACTGATCTTGCTTTCCTGAGATAAACTCCAACTGGAAAAGATATATTATCCCTTTTACATATTGGTTTAGTTTCTTCAAATGCCTTCATCTGATTTGAGTAATAATGTAATACTCAAAGAATGAATTACAAAATAAAGAATTTCTTTCTCTTCAGGTTTCTGAAATTATTTTATGGAATCACATTATTTTTTTCTTGACTTTTTTTTCATAGAATTTTCCAGGGAAGCCCTTCAGGCATGGAGTAACCTGAGTAGAAAGATAGTTATCTAAACTACAAACTTGATGTCTTTAATTAATACAGAGTATCCAGGTTGTCCATTTCTACTTGGATGAGATTCATTAGTTGGTATGTGTTCAGAAAATTGCTGTTTTTGTCTAAGCTATCAAATCTCATGGTTTGAAGTTCATTATCCCTTTGCTGTGCTGTTGCTTTGTTCCTTTTGGTAAAGTGTGTGTGTATTTTCTGTCTGTTTGTCTGTCTGTCTGTTTCTCTCTCTCTCTTTTTCATTCTTCATTCTTTTCTTGTCAGCTAGACTATTTGACTGTGAATTTTATTAATCTCCCCCACAGAACTAGGTTTGGGTCTCATTATTTCTATTTTCTTTTCTTTATGTCACTGATTTCTTCTTTGGTCTTTCTTCTTATGTTATTATTCTTAGGGTTTAATTTGCTCTTCTTTTTCTAGTTACAATAAAGTAAGAAGTTAGAGTCTGTTTATTGATTTGAATACTTCATATAAGAGAAGTAGAAAGTACTGTAAGTTTCTAAGTACAACTTTTGCTACCTAAGTTTTAGTATACTCTATTGTTATTTTCAGTCCATCGAGAATACTTTCTATTTTTGTCCTTTGGTTTCTTCCTATAGGTATATATGACTGAGTTTCCAAATATATCTGTTTTCTTTCTTATTATCATTTTAAAAATGCATTTTTGGTACCTAAAAGCATAAAAATTATACATACTAATGGGCTAAAATATGATGTTTATATGCATGCTGTATAATGTTATAATCAGTTGTAATATATCAGTCCCCTCATCTGTTCTTAATTTCACAACAGAATACAGTTTATGTGACTATAATCTTTTCTATTTTTTTTTTTTTTGGTCATGGGACTTGA